TTTCTGCTTACGTTTGGGATTTCTTTGAATTCGCGCCTTCACAGCTTTTATCACTGCTGGAGTCCTAACAGACCGAGGGCGACCACTTCTTGACCTGTCATCTACACTAGAGTCTTCATTGTATCGTTTGATGGTACGATAAACGAATCTTTTGGTTATATTCAAATTTTTTAGTATGTTAAAAATTTGAATTGGCGCGTAACCGCAACGATGCAACGCAATAACTGCAACACGGTCTTCTTTAAGCGTCCACTCCATATTTAAAAATGAGTAAAATTCTAAAAGTATACATTTTTATTTTCATGAACAATTCGAAATTCGAATTCAATAAACTTTTTTGTGGCCAGCATTCTAAAAGAAAAGTTTTTACTGTGTGACAATACTTATGACTTGACTAGTTATACTTAGTCTGGCCATAAATACTGTTACAATTAAAATAAAGAAAATATTACATTTGAATTTGGAATCTGTCATTTTTATATGATTGCTCACTGAGTTTTCTCATTTTGGCGCCAATACATTGTCCAATATTTTGCGATATTAAAATGTAGTGGGGTGATAAAGAGAACCGGACCGCTGTGATTGCATTACACAAAGTAGGTATGGAGCCAAATGCAATTTTTAAAACTCTTCATACGCTTGGTATTAGTAAAATGTTTGTGTACCGGGCTATTAATAGTTGCGATGAGACCTCCGCTGTTTGTAACAGAAAAAGATCTGGCCGTCCACGTAGTGTTCGTACGAAAAAGGTGGTCAAAGCATTACTGCTTTGACCACCTTTTACGGGAAAGAATTCAAAGAAATTCTGTCCGAAAGCAAAAGATTTTATCTCGGGAGATGAAGATAGCACCTAGAACCATGTCGCGTATTTTAAAAGATGACTTAGGACTTGCAGCCTATAAGAGACGTACTGGTCATTTCTTAACTAATAATTTAAAAGAGAATAGGGTGGTAAAATCGAAACAACTACTGAAGCGGTACGCAAAGGGAGGTCATAGAAAAATTTTGTTTACGGATGAGAACATTTTTACAATTGAGCAACATTTAAACAAACAAAATGACCGTATTTATGCTCAAAGCTCTAAGGAAGATTCCCAATTAGTCGACAGAGTGCAACGTGGGCACTATCCGACTTCAGTGATGGTTTGGTGGGGTATTAGCTATGAAGGAGTGACTGAGTCATACTTTTGTGAAAAAGGTATCAAAACATCGGCACAAGTGTATCAAGATACCATTCTTGAGAAGGTATTGAAGCCTCGTAACAACACCATGTTCAATAATCAAGAATAGTCCTTCCGGCAAGACTCGGCGCCAGGTCATAAAGCTCGGTCTACGCAGTCTTGGTTGGAAACGAACGTTTCGGACTTCATCAGAGCTGAAGACTGGCCGTCGTCTAGTCCCGATCTTAATCCGCTGGATTATGGTTTATGGTCAGTTTTAGAGAGTACAGCTTGCTCTAAACGCCATGATAATTTGGCGTCCCTAAAACAATCCGTGCGATTGGCAGTGAAAAATTTTCCCATGGAAAGAGTGCGTGCTTCTATTGATAACTGGCCTCAACGTTTAAAGGACTGTATTGCAGCTAATGGAGACCACTTCGAATAAGCTTTTTATACTTTAAATTGTTTTATATTTATGTATTAAACTAACACACTGTAAAAGTAATAAATGCTATTTGGAATATATATTTTTTTATTTTTAATTGTAACAGTATTTATGGCCAGACTAAGTATAGATTAATAGATTAATTAAATACCTTTTCAATTGTGGATGACCTTTTCATGTTGATCAAGTTATAGGTATAGGTAGGTGTAAGTTGATATAGATAAGTCGCCTGTCGGTTCAAAGCATTTATAATTACCGTAAGTCAAATCAAACCGATACCTGCTAATGGCAGCCATCATGTGCCTTACACGTGTTTAGAAATATGTTGTATTTTTAATTCGACTATTACTTCTACTGTCATAGACATAACTACAATTCGTTTTCTTCCTTGAAGCAAGGGGTCGAAGTTTAAATTGTATTGTCTAAAGGCTATCCAACCGTTAATATGAGAATACTTTATAGATTCAGAGCCCAGATAAGGTAAGCCCCACCATCATTTCCTTTAATTTTACGTGTCTGATTTTTATTTCACGATGCCCTATTGTCTTTCGTCGTTGTCGTCCACCGTAAAGACGTATTGTTTGAGATTGGAAACCTACCCTAATCGCATCGCACGATACAAAACCAGGCGATGGATACATCAAGCTTACAACTTATTTTCGTTTATATTTTAAACTTAAACTTCCCATTACATAATAAAAATAAAAACTGAAATCTGTGTTTTATCTATGTTTTGTTGTGTATTGTTGTACGCTGATTCGTTTTTTCATTTCTGTTTTTCAGGAAACCCAAACGACTTTAGATTGGACGCCATATCAGCGTGCTAATGTTCTATCAAGTCATTTATGGGGTGATATCTTGGCTTGTCTAATCGGTGGACCCATAGCGGAACGATGGGGTGCTCGCTATGTTGTTTTCTTTGGGATCCTGGTCAGCGCTGTATTGACAATGGCTACTCCTGCCGCTGCCAAGCACAGTTATATATCCATGTTGGTCGTTAGATTTATACTTGGATTTTTTACTGTGAGTATGGAATCCATCATGAAAATGATATAAAGTAAAGTGAGCTTACACGAAAAAAATTGTGGGTGCAGACGTAAGGAGTATTTCCTTCGTGTCAAATTTTATATCAGTTTTTTAACATTGTCGAACTTTTGGATGAAGGCTACATTTTTATCAATTGGTAGACACGTTCCATTTGTTTTTTTGCGTATTTGTACTTATCGTTTTTAATACGGTTTACTTATTGGTAATTTCTGCATTTATTAAGATGATTTTTTATTAATTTCATTTTCTATAATTCCTTTTATAATAATGAAATATGTATTAGCTAATTCAATTGTCAAGGGTATTTACTATCTTGGAGGCTTTCATTGTAGTATCTATGAATTAACTAAAAATGCAAACTTATCATATTTATAAAATATTTTTTTATAACTGAGCTGATTCGCTAATAAATTAATAAAATCAATTTGGAAAACCTTTGCCAAAGCAAATTCTGGAAATCTTTTTTGACTTGGTCAAAGTCGACTTAGTTACCACGGAGAAAATTAGACACACCTACAAAAAAAAAACATGCGCTTTAAAATTGCACGATTGTTGTTCTCCCAAGACAGATAAAGAAAAATATTGAAAGGAACATTTCTTTATATTCTGTGTATTCATCATGAAATTTACTAAAGCATCTTTGGGAGTGGTTTAAATTTTTCTCACTCCAAATCAGATATACATATATAGAGTCACAAATGGAATTGTTACATTTGTGTGAATTCAACTTACACACTTCTAAAATGATTTAAAAAAAACTAAAATATGTATAGGCTATATAGTTATATATTGTTGTATCTTTTCAGGGATTCATAAATCCAGGGTGCCACGTTTTACTATCCAGATGGGCAGTAGCAACTGATAAAGGCAAATTCTCTGGAGCACTGATGGGTGGTAGCATAGGCATATTTATAGCGTGGAGTATATGCGGACAGCTCATCGAACCTTTTGGTTGGGAATGGGGATTCTATTTCTTTGGAATCGTCAGTTTTCCACTAATTGGTTTACTCTGGTTCTTGGTATACGATTCACCGGAAAATCACCCTTACATTTCTGAAAAGGAGAAACAATACTTAACTGATAACATTCAAGTGCAACGTAAAAAAGTAAATGTTTCATAATACAACATATCTAAAGGCTTCGTCAATTATAGCGCTGGCGTTCTGTTTGACGGTATGTTACCATAGTAGTACAACACATCTCGGCGTCATAGCGCGGCGTTAGTTTAGCGCTCTGACGCGCGCTAAGTACGCGTTCTGTTTGACGAAGCCTTTAAAGTTTTCGAATGCTGTATAATTTTCAAGTTACATAATATTATTATTTTTCTGACATTTCAGCAATCGATTCCGTATCGTCACATTTTAACCTCGATACCGTTTTGGTCATTGGCGATTATTAACTTCGGAAGTGGCTGGGGAATTTTCTTTGTCATCACCGCAGCTCCAAACTATATCGCAAACGCATTGGGCTTCAACATTGCATCTACCGGGTTATTATCGGCATTAACCTACTTAGCAAAATCAACTTTCGCGATCATGTTTGGATCAGTTGGAGACTTCCTATTACAAAGAAAACTCGTTTCATTGAATATGCTAAGAAAGTCTTCCATCTTTATTTCTCACGTGATACCGGGTTTGGGTCTAATAAGTATGGCATATCCCGGAATGCAGCCAGCGTATTATATCGCTTTGATAACGGGGGTAATGGCAATGAATGGCTCTGTGACTTTGACAACTGCTGTGAATGGACACGATTTGACAAGGAATTTCGCTGGTACCGTAAACGGCATAGTGTTTGCAATGATGACAGTTGCAGGAATAATAACTCCTTATGTTACTGCCTTTTTCACAAAGGACGATGAGGTGAGTCGATCGTATTTTTCAAATGTTACATTTCATGAACCTTAAAAAATCATTTAAATTATTATTAAAGTTATCATATCTTACATGCTCACTATTTTGGTGTAGTCATTAGGTATATAAGTAGCTCAGTTAAGTTCATTGGTCTTTGTACAGTAACATTTCACGAAGTTTTGTTAGGCAGTATCGTCTAAAAATTTCTCAAATTTCATAATATTAACCAAGATTATATTTTAGCTACATGGGGTTTCCATTAATTAAATTTTACAATTTTATTATTCATTCAAAATATATTTACATATTATATTTTCGAGCGTATTTGGAAAATTATTGGTTTAAAATAATTTATCTAAAATTTAAGTTTTGTCTCAGAAAATAGTAAGATATTTATCGACGATTTTCAGACAAGTGCAGCTTTATGGCAACCCGTGTTTTATACGGGAGGTTCAGTATTCATGGCCACTGGATTACAATTCTTGTTCCTGGGTTCGACAAAGACTCAATATTGGAATGATATCACCAAAGAGAAAGATGCAGAAGATCAAGAAAAAAATTAAATCACATTCCTATACTGCTCAAAGAATGAATAATTAATAAGTGCGCACGTTTTTGTATATACATTGAATGAAACAAGGAAATGAGGTTTCACACAATAATTATTGTTTTAGTACCTTCAACCTGAGCGACGGTAACCACTTACCATCAGATGTGCTCACCTGCCTGTTCTGGCAATAAAAAAAAACAAAAACTACGGGAACTTGGCAAAAAGTCCTAGTGACGCTCACATGGGGAGCGCTTCGTTGTTCATCCATAGGTGAATGGATATCTTAGGTGTTTGCGTAGCGATAGCTTAGAAGTTAATATAAGTTAGACGTCGTGTGCTTGTTACGAGTATTAAATTCTTACGGCTATGCAACTGATAAAATTTTGTGACAAGTACCACTATACCTCCTATATAAGTCAACAAGCCGTACTCGCCCGCTTCGCTGGGAATTAACATTATTATTTATTGTCATTATTATTAGGGAGTTCAACACTCATATAAATATTAGCCTATCCATTAAGTAAATGTATTTTCTACATGGATACCAAGTTTCAAGTCAATCGAACGCATGGTTCAGTAGTTATAACGGAACATCCGTAAAAACCACTGTAGATTTATATATTATTATAGTATAGATAAATACCCTTCAACCTCATTTCCCAAGGTGGGTTGGGGCAAATAGGCAGTCTAAAATTAATTAAACTTAAGTCAACTTAAAAAATTACGAGAGCATGCTTTTCGAATACCTAGAATTCCGAAGTAAAATGGCAAAAAACGGTACCCATAAATTTTATCGTAAACAATCTTGTCACTTTAAATTCATAAAAAGAAAACATATTTATGACTACAGTAAGTCACGTTCAACTGTAATTATCGCTAATTGAATGACTAATTTTAATGAGAAAATTTGATTTTTATGTTCATAAAAACTCTTACACAATGAAAAATAAATAAGCCAAATCCGTCGAGCCTCTCTTAAGTAATGCTTCGTCACAAATGTGCCATTAATTTTTACTGCTTAGGTATACTAGATGTCGGCCACTATGATTGCATTTTAATGCAAAAGGTAACTAACTACCTACACAGGATAAATATTTCAACTGGAGCTCTGACAATACCTACCATAATTCGTTGTAAATGTGCACGATGAAACAACATCCGATCTTTATGTGACGTTAATCGCAATAACTACGACTTTAATGGACGGCTACGTTGTCGAGTAACATGATTTAACGATAAACTTCGCGGGTCGTCTTTTGAATTCGAACGTATTGAATAAAATTATGTATATGAAACTATAGTAGTTGTACATTTGCTGCATTAGTTGTCGCTTTGTATTCCAGAAGTTAAGATTATAGTAAGCACAAAATAAAAATATGCCTAAATTTTCTTGTATTCTTAAATTTTTTGTTCATATTGAACCGAGAGATAGATAACTATTTAGAAGAACGGAAAACTGCAAAAAAAGAAAAGAAGAAAATAAAGGGGAACACCAATTAAAACAAATTACTTATTAAATGTGATTTAATATATTTTATATATATTCATATAATATTATTTATTTCTTGATACGTACTTACATTATATTACAAATTATATATACACGTTTACAACATTACACTTTTCAGTACGTAATAATCAACTACATCGAATCTGGCTTAAATGATGAGTAAATCATTAGTGTCACATGAATTAAATCAAAGATTTAGTTTAGGTTTAAAACTTGTATAAAATCTTATATTTTTATTAATAAGACGTTACAAAAACCGTCTAAAGTATACTTTTAAATCTATGAAAAAAAAAACTAAACATGCTAATATTTTAAGGAAATATTTAGCTATCAAGAGTTCAATAAAATTTATAATACAATACAATTTCACATCATTCATTTACATTAAAATCATTTAAATTGAAATTATTCTTACGTCTTTGGAATAACATCACCAAAACAAATCCAGTTATGGTCACGTGTTTATATAATTTCAGGCGGGATTCTTGCATGAAGGCATCTATCTATCTCTTAACGCTATTAAAATCTTTTCAAGTTATTAAAATTCATAAGTAGTAGTTCATCATAATATACTGGGATAAAATATAATTTTTTTATTCACGATTACTTTTAAGATAAATTAGTTGATAAAACATTTTTAAGTTCTACAACGTCTATGACACGAATGAAGTCTTAAGATACATTTTGAAATTCTTAAACGTACGATTCTGATTCCGTGTCGGAATCGGTGGCGTCCAAATCTAGAACGTTCTGGATGTTTTTGTCGGCGCCGTTCGATGGGTACAGACGCGGCACGGACTTGGATCGCGTCGTTTTGTCGTCCTTGTTCACGTGCACAGGCTGGAATTTTTTCAGGACTCTCTGGTACACCATCTTCCTCGGCGGAACAGGCGGTGGTATTTGAGGAGGTTTTTTGTTATTATTGTTCTTTTCGTTCTCTGTATACTCGGGCTCGACGGCGGTCGGGGTGGCTTTGTAGATATCAGATCCAAAGATGTTCGACTTCGCTTCGTGGTATATGTCCCTTCTGCGATTGTACACAGAAGTGTATAGGGGATCTATGTACTGCGTAGAGTAACAGTTCTCGTAGGAGTTCTCGCTGGCCGGTGATTCGGTCGATCGACTGTTGAACGCGTTCTGTGGTTGGTACAAAGTGTCGCTGCTGCTAGAATCGCTATTCAAAATAATATTGGCCAGAGACTTCGATTGATTTAATTTATTATTGTAATTACGAACTCGACACTTTTTAATCTCATCCGAATTATTCGTTTGAACATTATCAACGTATGAGTAAGAGTTTTGTAGTGGGTTTATGTTGTGTTTGATTTGTTCCTCTCTCCTAGTGTTGGCGACTTGTAAGCCAGTGCAGCTTTTAGTGCACATGTGCGCCGGATCGAACCGCCTTTTCCTGCAGCAGTTAGTTATATTTGGATCGTAATTTCCGTTGCGTGTTTTGTCCGAGTGCGAGTCATCGCTAACTTCCAGGCTCTTTGTCCTCGCTGCCTGACGAGACCAGTCATTTCTTGTAAAAATGGTGGCTGCCGGTGTAAGTTTCCCATCCGAATTATTCTGCGAGGATTCTCCGTGTTTTGTTTTCATTTGCTCGTAAATGTTTTCCGTGTTTTGTTTGACGCCATATGCTGTGTTGTTTTTGTCCCAGCCCGCGTAAACACGTTTGTAATTATTAGTCGCGTTTGAAACACCATTAGTATGCGCCTGATACTGAGTTTGCCGTTGAATGTTCTCCGTGAACATGGCGAGGTCGTGTATGTTGGTGTACAGTATGTTTTCCTGACTAGATATCAAGTTTTGTTTATTATCGAGAGATTCTTGTTTCGTTTCTAAAAGATTATCCGAACTTTTAGCTCTATTGAAATTCTTGTTTGTCGCGTTTAAATCCGCGTTCTGAGTTTCAGTGTACATGCTGTATACCTTCGAAGTGCGGGCTGCTTTGGAGACGTTGCTTCGCGGCGGCTTCTGAGGTTCTAGACCCGTGATGTATTTAGCTGGGCTCTGCGCGTATATATCAGCCGTCGACCGTTGCAAAGCTGTCTTGGAGACGTAGTTTCTATCATCGATCCCGTTTGAGATTCCAATGTTTATAGTGTTGTGTACGTACCTTTCGCCGACGTAAGGGGCCGTGTAAAGTTCTTCGTTCACGGTACTATATAATTCGGCTTTATTAGAATAAATGTTTTGTCTTTGTGGAAGACCGTTGACGTTGTGGTTTTCCGTTTTGTATCGGGCTAACAATTTCGAATCTTGTTGTAAATTGCAAGAAGGAGCCGATGAGCTGTGAAGGATATTGCGAGGCGCCGGGCTGTTGCCGCCATTGCTGTTCGAGTCGTCTTCAGAGAGCGTTAGTCCGGAATCCCTGCTTAGGGACAATTTTTCTTTACGCGGCGTCAGTTCCATAGAGTCTAAAGAGATTCCAACGGAATGGAGGCTGTCGCTTTCTTCGGCGCCGGAGTCGAGCAAGGCGTTCGGGGATTCTGGACTGCCGTTACCCAAAAGACCGGCTATTTGTGGCCCGAACAAGATATCGGCTTTAACAATTAATAATTCGACGACTTTCGGCACCGCTTTAGGAGCTTTGTCGCATGGAGTATTCGGCCAAAGAAGGCTAGGTCCAACGCAAACGCCCAGGTTCATTGGACACATTAGGTTGATGTTGGATTTCTTGGCAATAGCTTGTAATAGGCAGACAAAGTACGTTAGCATCGTGTAGTGTGCCTTTGGGAGTTTCAGCAGTAATGAGCGAACCGCAGTCACCTTTTCATTTTGAGATAAATCTGTAACAAAATAATACGGGTTTTAATCCGATGCTATCTAAATGCGATTTCAAATAAATTATACACCGCCTTGATTTAGAGTTAATTTAATAAATGACGCTGCGCTTATGTTGGTATTAGTGAATGAATAGAAGAGGATCCTAAAAAGATTTTTTTAAATGGTTTACAGCTTTAAAGATTAATATGTTACTTAAGTTCTTATTCAATAAGAGTGTGGGTTTAGCGACAGCAGTTGAGGAATTATTTATATAAAAAACCTAATATTTACGAAATTCTACTCGGTTAATTGAGACAATGTTCTATGCAAAATTATTTTTATTTTGTTACGAAAATATTTGTTTCGTAATGAGATGACGCCACAAGTTTAGCATTTGAATATTTATCATAACTGAATATAATTTTCTATTGATCTTGCATTATTCCAATGCTTCAAAAGTGCATCTTAAATTATATATTAATATTATAATATATTTCATTTCAATAATTATTATAACTTTATATATATATTGTTATTGCCCTTGTAGGCAGACAAGAATACGGCCCACCTCATGGTTAGTGATTACCGTCGCCCATGGACCCCAGCAATGCCAGGGGCAGAACCAAGCCGCTGCCTACTCTGTATTTACTAGGATAAAATTAGTTTGATACTTACTAAGAATTTGCAGCCAAGCCGGATATAGTTCTGAGGCAAGAAGCGGCTGAGGTAGAGCTCGAAAGAATTCTTTGACTAATGCAGCCAATAACAACACTGGAGCACGGTCCAATTCAGGGCACCCTTCTGCCCACGGACCCAACGTATCCAACTGTAAATAAAGATTTCAATTAGTTTTAAATTAAACACTAGCTGACCCGGCAGACTTCGTAGTGCCTCAATCTATAAATAAAAGACCTAAGCTTTTGTATAAAATGAACTTAAAACAAACAAAAGGATTCCGACGGAGGACGACGGGGGACACATCAAAGGAAAAACAAAATTGTTATTTTTATGAGTATTTTCATATTTATCTACCTTTTAAACCTTCTCTGGATTTCCACAAATAATTCAAGACCAAAATTAGCCAAATCGGTCCAGCCGTTCTCGAGTTTTAGCGAGACTAACGAACAGCAATTCATTTTTATATATATTAAACGTTATTGATACGTACTACAATATGCTTTTTGTTCGGTATTTATTATTTTGCCTAAAATGATTTATACTAACTATACTAATAGTACTGATTTTTTTACTCAATATAAATTCATCCTGGGTTAGAATCATTCAAATCATTTTAAAGATAAAGGATAAAGGGAAAGGATTTTAAAGATAAAGAAAATAAATTATTTTCGAAATGTTGTCCGTTTATGTTGTAGTCCGCCCTTAAGGCACGCAAGAGACATAAAAACCGCTCCTGCTTCTTGTTATGCCCGTATATAAATTTTAATCGCTACTTAGTACTTAGTAACTATCTAATATTCTTAAGAACCCGCATCAATGCTGTATTCACGGAAAAAAAATAGATATTCTGTCAAATATAGGAAGTATCAGTTTTTATTTTATATTGCTTAGGCCCACGTGTTGTTAAATGGTTACCAGAGCCCATAGACGTTTACAACATAAATGCCGCCACCTACCTTGAGATATGAGTTCTCAGGTCTCAGTTTTTACAGTACAACGGCTGCCCCACCCTTCAAAACCAAAACGCGTTACTGCTTCACGGCAGAAAATCTTGCGGACTTATCTGCGTTATCTTTTATTCCTACCCGTGCGGACTCACAAGACGTCGTACTACCAGTATTTTTTTTTATTGCCCTTGTAGATAGACGAGCATACGGCCCACCTGATGGTGAGTGGTTACCTTCGCCCATGGACTCCAGCAATGCCAGGGGCAGAGCCAAGCCGCTGCCTACCAAAATGTCTTACCTTACCTATTATTGATGTCTTACCTTATCTCTTAGCAGTCGTAGCGCTTTGGCGTTAGCGCTGCGTCTGAAGACGCCGTGCGTCAAGGGCGCGAGGACCCTCAGGCGCCGCATGACTTGTATGAGCGCGGGCGGCGGTGTGCCGTTACATAGCCTGGTCAACGCCACGCCGAATAGACGACCTCCCCTTCGGAGTAAGCGAAGACCGCGTCCAGGCGTGCTGTTCCCGCTGAACGCAACATTACAAATGTATTTGTCAGTTAATTTCTTTAGGACCGTTGTAATTTGAGAGTAGTACGAAAAAGAGACAGTCATATATTGTTAAGATTTCGCTTGCGATAGAATGAGACCCACAGACACAGCCCACTGAGTTTCTCGCCGGATCTTCTAAGTGGGTCGCGTTTCCGATCCGGTGGTAGATTCTGCGAAGCACTGCTCTTGCTAGGGCCAGTGTTAGCAGCGCTTCCGGTTTGAGCCCCGAGAGCTCACCTACACGCTAGGGTAACGCTGATATAGTCCTTCAAGGCTATCAGCATAGGTAAAAATAATAATAGAATGAGATAAAAAACGTTTTGTAAGTTTTACTTCGAACGAGTGTGATCTACATTTTTTTTGTTAAACGATATTACGTGTTTGTTTAAGTGTATATGGAACATGTTTGGTATCCATCTAGTATTGTTGCTGATGTCCAACTTATAACTCGAACAAGAACGTGGTACAATTGACACTTCTTACATTATTAAGCGCTATGTTTGCGATACTAAGTTAGGTCGAGTTGGGAAATGGGAGGAAAAAGATAGGAAGTTAGACAGAAAAGATTGTTTATTGTCAAGTGAATTCTGGTTCGATTTTTAACTCAAATATTGGACGCCGTTTGATTTCTGATCAAATATATATTTTGCATTTATAGTTATGAGATGTTAGTAAGCATTAAGGACCATTACTTAAAAGATGGTTTTATACAATTCAATCTTTACATTACAATACAATCCAAATCTTTACTACTGCTCAATCCAAATATTCTCAAAAACGTCTCTTACGCCATACGTCGTATATAGATGGCGCTCTGCCAAAACACGCTTTCATTCAAGTGCCAAGAACAACTGTACAAAGCTTTAACTCAATGGGATTGAACAAACAAACAAACATTAATTGTTCTAAATAAGATAAATGAGTTCGCACTTACTTCTTCAGGCCTTGATTTTTCTTCCGCAATTCGAACACAAGTCCACAGGGGTTGTTCTTGGCATTAACATGGTCCATGTCGAACCCATCTTCATTGGATAAAGTTTGACGTATTCGTGACATCTGGAAGTTTTGTATCTTTCATTAAATTTCAATCGATTATTTAAAGTCTTGCCGTGAATATTGTTATATTATAACCCAATTATTTTCGATGTATCGTTTCGTCTAAGGTCTAATACTTGAATATTGTGACTCTTGAATATTGTGCTGACTACCGCCAATTTTTTATAATAAATAAACTAGGCAATATTAAGCGCTAAAAATAGTTTTAAATCGATTTTTAATATAAATATGTTTGCCTCATTAAAACCATATAAGATACTTTTAATTAATTTTCTAGTACTACTTCAAAATACTTTAAAAATTAAGTTAGAATACTTTATTTTTATTTTTTATTACTTAGATGGGTGAACGAGCTCACAGCCCACCTGATGTTAAGTGTTTACTGGAGCCCATGGACATCTACAACGTAAATGCGCCACCCACCTCGAGATATAAGTTCTAAGATCTCAGTATAGTTACAACGGCTGCCCCACCCTTCAAACGGAAACGCATTACTGCTTCACGGCAGAAATAGGCAGGGCGGTGGTACCTACTCGCGCGGACTCACAAGAGGTCCTACCACCAGTAAAAAAGCTATTCAGCTATTCTATTCAGCTATTCTTAAATATAAGAGTTTTTAGTTAACAAGCTTTTTCCATTTTCTCTTATTTATCTTTTGGGCATACCGAAAAACGACATATAACGTAAACAATAACCTTCTTGTCCACGTTATTTATAGCAAATTTCTCTCTTCCCCTAAAATCTTTACAGTATTTATAAGAGACTAGCGACTCGCCCTCGCTTCGCTTCGGAAACTGTAATTTATTATTGATTTCTCCACTATTTAATTTATGTTATTATACATATAAACATAAACCTTCCCCTTCAATTACTCTATCTATTAATTAAACCGCATCAAAGTCCGTTGCGTAGTTTTAAAGATTTAAGCATACATAGGGATATAGGGATAGAGAAAGCGACTTTATTTTATCCTATGTAGTGATTCATCATACTTCCTACATACGTCGGAATCTAAGTGGACGAACACCTACATACGTAATGCATAGTAGTAGTAGTATTCTTAACGATATCTATCTATTAGATTCGAAACGATAATTTAAGAATGAAGAGGGTTAACAATTTTACCTGTATCGAATGTGGTCTCTCGATACCCTTTAGGGGCATGGACGGTGCATCGCGGCCCGTCCGAACACACAACGTGAACTCGTCGACGGCACCCAGCCGACCGTCGTCAGCGTCAGCGTCACCTTCACCCTCCACTTCGCCTCCATTTTGAATCACATGGAGGGCCTGTCGTATCACACAGCGAGAACTCATCTCTGGATTCACGGACAATGTTTTACACTGTAAAGAGAGGTTTCATTGTTATTAAACTATATATGTTTACTTGGATTTGTGTACGTCATTATCAAATTGAATGTTAATTAAATAACAACTTACGAATTCAATGGAAGACATCAAGTCCTTGTAGAAGATTTGTATGTTTGTTGATTTCGGTTCTGTGGCCAACTGGGCATTCAGAGCGTTTTGTATTTTTCTAGAAAAAACAAAACAGGTTTTTTATTGTAATACAATGTACTAAATAAATCAATAATCGGAAACAAATAAACTAGGATTCTATTCCCTTCCCTGTACTATGGGAATTGGAGACTGATCTACATATTTATATGTGTGTAAATATAACACGTTCAGATATAATGCAAACAAAACTGTTCGTCTCATGCCTGACGTGGAAATCGAATCCACCAGCAGTTGGGCGTGCAAACCACTGCCACATCGAGTTAATTACCGTCAAATGTTTTTTGTAAACTAATTATTAACAAGATCTTCCAAGAAAACAACCATTAAAATTTACCTAAACCAAGTATCTCGGGCGGCTTGCGTCGGGTACGTAGCGAGGTAGTTAATGACGCCGTTAGACGTTGGCCATCCGATGAGGAATCCCGTATCGTCACCGTCCTGAAGCGAGAGCCAAACTTCGGCAAGTCTCACGCTTTCCTTGAGCTTAAAGCAATTCGTGGCCCGCGACTTGCCGACTAAAAGCAAGTCGTTAAATAGAAACAAGTGGCGATCTAGAGGTGGGGAGCTCGTTCCCAGCGGGCACAGTTGCACAGGTGCTTCCATGATGAACGTGCGTGGCGATAAATTTCCGTTACTCGCACTGATTGTACTGCCGATATCCAAGCTTGGACGTTTACGGAGGCTCTTCTGTTTCTGCAAACAAACAACGAGATCGCTTTTAAAATATCATGGAATTATTTGTAATTTCTGGTAAAATACAAATACGCTATCTATACAGAAATGGTTGTCCAGATATATTCATGTATACATGAGTAAGTTATAGTGTGCACTTTCTTGAGATTAGTGGATTACAACGAGTATGTCGATACGACGATTACGACGGGAATGTCTTCCACCGAGCGGGTGTTCGGAGCTTGTATATATACAAGATTATCTTGAAAATGTTGTAAGCAAGATCAGCGAGAGAGCGAGGCGTATGTTAAATATCTGGTGTTGTGTGATAGCTACCACCACAATTACTGGTGGTAGGACCTCTTGGAGTCCGTGCGGGTAGGCACCACCACCCCGCCTATTTCTGACGTGGAGCAGTAATGCGTTTCGGTTTGAAGGGTGGGGCAGCCGTTGTAACTATACTTGAGACCTTAGAACTTATATCTCAAGGTGGGTGGCGCATTTACGTCGTAGATGTCTACGGGCTCCACTAACCACTCTTAACACTGTGGGCTGTGTCGTCACCCATCTAAGCAATAAAAAAATATAGTTTAAGTTTTCTGAAATCGCGTATAGACGTCGTAAGGTTTACCTGTGCATGGTGCGAGGCAAGTGCCGCGGGTGCGTCGGCGTCGTGCAATGCAAGGTAGTCGTGAGGGAACAGGTCCTGCACACGTTCCAGGTCGGAGAGACGCGCCGCACGTCTGCGGGCACACCCGCCGCCCACTAGCCGCTCGTACTGCGCTAGACGCTCTATCTGCAAGTCACAAACGAAACATCGTTAATAAATCAATTAGCAATGAAAATGTAGTACACGATCTCTTTTTAATACGCATTTATTAGTTTCAGACGTATGTTTGTAACGGAATCTTTGAACATGATTTTGGCGCCCATCAAAACGTCGGATTAACTCGAAATTTGGTATACTTATTAAGGACCGATGACAACTAAATATTTAATAAAAAAATAAAATGTTTACGCTTTTTTACAAATCATTTTTTCTTAAACTTTTTTTAATTCAAATTTATTAAAATTTATTTTCTATTTTTTAGTTGGATTTTCTATAAAAGCGTATTGTGTTCGTTTTTTTAAACTATTATTTATTTTCAAAACACAGATTGCTTGATTGTTTTGTTGTACGTTGTGGTTTATATAATTTATTTTATTCGATATGTATTCCTTATCTACGTGTTTATTTTGGTAATGTAATTATAACCTAGTGTTTATTTTCACTCATGTCTACTGTAATTCTTTAAATTATCGCCATGTTATAACTTTATCACAGCTACGCACTTCTGGAATCTTTCACTCCATCAACGAGGGTTAACTGGAAGAGAATGCCTACATGGCGTTAAGTTCGCCTTTAAATAATGTTTTTGTGCAATAAAGAATTTTCAATCAACCAATCAATGAATACAAAATATTGTTATTTTTTATCGCAGTATACTACGTGTTTGTATCAAAAACATTCTTGGTCGTTTGTTAGTAGTACACATTAATATTAATAACGGTTGCAACAAACTGAATTGATTTTCCAATGGAGAATCGTTTTAGAAAAAAAAGCGCTGCTCAGCTGCTTTATGTCATCTGTGAGCGTTAATTTAAGATCATAATATATGTATCTATTATTAGAAACAATGGAAAAAATTGTAATTTAATTTTCAGAATGTTTAAAAAATATTTATTAGGCTTATAATTCGGAAATCTCGGGCTCAAATTCATTAAAAATTATTGAATTGTATTTGACCTTTATTTGCCAGATGCTATCCGAGCGTAGGCTTAAACGTCTTTTGCTTAAGAAAATGACATATAATCAACAATTTTTTTCCAGTATTTTAATAGTATTTAGCACATTTAAACGTTAATATGCAATAATAGTTTCTTTTTTTATGTTTTGTCATTCACAAGTTTAGATTGAATCCGGAAACCGTTCTTGCATGCGCAAGATGAAAGAGTGGCTTTCCAAATCCCACACAAAAACTCGGCGTGAATATCAAATAAGTATTAAAATGAGGTCTTCAAACATCCGCCAAGAGACTATTATATTATTAAATTAATGTATTGAAACGTAACGAAAGTAATCTAAATTCTGATCGCGTTGTGTCGTCCTGAGGGATACTTCCCTAACGCCTCGCAACTCCTTGAAGCGTGTCCACGACAATGCCAGTTAATAACATCAGGACAAAGGACCGTGGGATATCTACCAGTCATTGTTCGTAATCTATGTTGTATGAACGTACAATCTCAAAATGAATTTATTTATAAGACAGAGCTCCGTGAGTAGTTCGTGTATTTACGACAACTATGCACGGTGCGGTCGCTTGTATTGAACACTAGCATTAGTTATGTCATGCATTTGATTCATATAGGTAAATTAACGCGAAAAAACAAAATTGAAAGCTGTAATTTGAAATTAGAGTATTTCGATTCGATAAAATTCTGTTACTCCTTACTCGCAGCTCAATTCATTGAAGTAAACAAATTAATTACAGTACTGAACAAATGCTACTGGTGGTAGAATCTCTTGTGAGTCCGCACGGGTAGGTTGGTACCTAGTACCTGGTAGTGGTTTCGGTTTGAAGGGTGGGGCACCCTTTGTAACTATACTGAGACCTTGTGAGTCCGCACGGGTAGGTACCACCACCCTTACCACACCCTCTAGGTTTGAAGGGTGGAGAAGCCGTTGTAACTATACTGGGACCTTAGAACTTATATCTCAAGGTGGGTGGCGCATTTACGTTTTAGATGTCCATGGGCTCCAGTAACCAATTAACACCAGGCCGGCTGTGAGCCCGTCCTACCATCTAAGCAATAAATAAAAATAAATAAATGCATTAGCTGACGTTGGTAGTCAATTTGAATTCCTCTGCGAATGATATGAAACGTTACGGTCTCCAATAACCATGTTCAGTGAAACGTTAAATTATATGTTTGATTCGCAGCTACGTTAGATCTCGCAGTTGCAACGGTGCTAATCGAGAGAATTTTGTTCTAAGAAAACGGCGCGGCGTGTGGTCAGCGGCTGTGTAATATCCTGTCGTTTACATTTGACCGAGAAACAGTAAAATTAATAAAGATTAGGCAAGCCTGTGCCGAATCTAAACAAAATATGAACTAGTTTCAATTTCGTTGTATCACCGTTCTAAGTTTGAAGCATATAATAATAATAATAAACAAGATAATATATATGATGATATTATAGTATATACGTTTTTTAATTGACATTATTGAATAAGCATTCACTAATACACAAATCGTAGTCAAGGTATACAAACAACGTTGTATAAAAGGTGAGTATGAGAGATAGCACCAGTGCATTTATTACATCTATGTAGTAGTATTAAATAGTATTTCGCTTACAGATCACAGATGGTCATCTTTTCTCAAAGTCGGATTCCCTGTATTGCGGGAATCAAGAGACTGGTATACGTTTAAATATATACATAGACAAAAAATAAAATGCATCGTCGTCATACGAACGTCATATTTTTTCGAACGATGTACAAGTCTATTTTTTTCCTACCTAAGCTGATAGCCTTGAGAGGCTATGTCAACGTAACCGGGGGAGTACTTGAGCTCACGGGGCTCAAACCGGGAGTGTTGTTAACACTGGTCCTAGCAAAATCAGTGTTTCGCAGAATCTACCACCGGATCGGAAACTCGACCCACTGAGACACTCAGTGGGCTGTGTCTATGGGTTAGTTTACTCGTCGAGCTCTTCGTCACAAGCGACGGTGACCGGTGCCTGAGGTACCTAAAAGCACCGTCAGTGGATCAGGAGGATCGTGTTTAGGGCAATGAGTCCACAATCCTCGTCCAGGAGTCAGGGGCGCTAACTATTGCGCCACCGAGTACATGTTAATTTGTAGCGACAATTAAAACAATAATTACAAAAAAAGTACAGTTTAAATCGTTTTTAAAGTTCAGCGTTGCAAGTGCTCATTTAGTCTGTCACGGTCGTCACATGAGCTTGAGTTATTGTACTGTAAATAATTACGTATTAAAGTGCGCACAACCGCGACCTGGCTTTATGATTTAATGTATACAGACAGACCGTCATCGGAACCGTTATATGATCAAATTTTATGTCAAATTATTGCGATAATTAAGAGGAAAATGATGCGGAACTATTTGTTCCCTCTTTGGTTTAGATGTGGTTGAACAGTGACCTAGACTGCTATAGTATATTAACGGTTTATTTACGACAGCCGAAAAACTTTAGTATCAAAATTTAAAAGGATAATACCTTCCTTTTCCTACAACTCATTACGCAATAAAATTTACAACAAAAAAAACCGAGATACTCATCTCAGGCGCCGGAGTGCCGAGACGAAATTTCTCTACTTATCAAAGTTTTATAAGCAAATTTTTGTAGCTCGACGTAGTACTCTAAAAGACTTTTGTTTGAACAAAAAGAAATACTTCGAAAACAGATTAGTTAGCGTTCATTGTTTACTATCACATAATCTGTTTACTTCACTGATTTTGGAAGTTTTTTTTTGTCCATACCACGAATTTCGAGCATCGTTCGGGCTTACGCACACACAAGCTATCCGTGAACGTGCTACACGGAACTGCACTTTCTAACTCAAATATTTACTTTAGAGTAAACGTGTACGAGCGTAAGGTTCTTAAGATAACGAGCGAACTGTCCTAAAAACCTTAGATAAAGTCGAAGCGCGTGCGCCGCCCTATAATGTAAACCTGCGCTTTTTACAAATTATCTTTATCTCTATTTTTACGTTTCCATTTTAAGTGGACACGCCTAGAAGTCATCGTATTTCAAAATGTTTCAAAACTGTCCACATTAAGCTGTAAAGCTTTTAAGTGGGTTAGTTTTTATGTTAATAGAGTACCTACACGTTGCGAGGAAACCATTTTTTTTTTGTATAACTCATAAAGTGCTTATGAAACATCACTAGATACTAATAAGTAGGCTCATTTAATTGAATGACGTTAACGATGTGAAATACTATCATTATGGGTTACATAACTTATGCGATTCAGTCGATTTCTTTGATAAACCTCGATATTGAATTGGCCCACAATCTGATGACTAGATTACTAGCCGATCTGCTTTCATAGGTACTTATAATTATTACGAAAATGAAAAAAATCTAATTTTTATTACGGACAACTGTTTCAAATTCTTATACGTCATATAACAAATCTGCGAACGGTAGATACAATTTGCTCCGTTTAATTGTTAAAAATTAACTTTCTTTTTACTTGATTAGTCATTTTTAATGGAATTTCAACACGTTTACTAGCATTACCAAATAAAACGTTAAAGTCATAGATTTCCCTTTTGTTTTGATTTATTAATCGTCTTTCACCTCGGTTTCAACGGGGAACACCCACATCGTAAAACGCTACCACAATAAAATAAAGCTCAGAAAAAACACAAGAGACAAATGAGCACTTACCGCTTCCAATAAAGCACCTGGATCGACATTATCGCGTTGAAAATTGACATTGGCTTAATAGCGAATTTACAACCACAAAAATTATTAACGGTACAAGAGGCATGCAGTGGACCCGGTTCACGGAATGCGTTCGGGCGTGATCCGGATCGCAATCTGGACGCGGGATCGCAGGGTCGCCCGCTGCCGGATTCAATGGCGCTCGTGATCAAAATTCGCAACGTTCGTTTTTACTTTTTACAGGGAAATTAAAATTTATAAGGTCCCCGCTAAGCGTGCGATGCAATTCGATAAGTTGCGACACAGTGTGCACTTTCTATCCGATTCGCGTAAT